TTCCAGGTAAATGGGTTTTTTCTTCTTTCAACATTGTAAATATTTCACCCCACTTCTTGCTAGCATGGTTTCAGAGCTGGTGTTTGGTGCAATTCTTTGATTTTCTATAGATAAGTTGTATTGGCTTAGGTATTGGTTTTTAAATCTGGCTTTTTTTCCATATCTTTGCACTTTGAATATGCTATGTCTTGGGATGGGTTTTTTCCCCATCATGAAATATCCTATTGGTAGTGCTTTTCTCCTTAAAGTCTACGTTGTCCAGTATTACTATAAGTGTACCTGCAAACTTTTGGTTAATGTTCCCTGGTGTATCATTTCCATTTTATAAAATTCGGTCTCTTCTATCCTTATCTCAAAATATGTGTCTCACAAGAAGAATAAAGCCTTTTATTTTAAATCAATTCTAGCATTCAATGAATTCAATTCAAATAAGCTTGACATGTTATTATTGACTTGTGCTTCTCTTTAGCCCCCTTTCTTACTTTCTTTGAGTAGATAATTCATGATTCCACTTTTGTTTTATTATGATTTGTGTGCGCACTTTTCCTGTACTTCAAATGCTTAACCTACAGATTGCACCATGTAGTTCAGATTTATTAACTCCCAATATATGTTAGTTATGTATTTCCTGGCAATGAAAGCACCTTAAAAACTTTAAACCTTGTTACCTGCCCAACTGCACCTTTTTTCTTTGCATTTTATTTCTACATGTGCACCTGCTATTCATACTGAGACTGCATGAATTCAAATTTTCTTAATTCATTTTATGCTATCTCACTTGACAGCTGAGTATTGAGTGATATATTATTATATATCTCTGTTTATTTTATCTTTCATTATCGGTTTCTAGATTAACTCCACTCTGATCATAGAACATACTATCAATTATTTAAATATTTGAAATTGTTTTATATTTGCTGAACCCTTAGCAAATGCAGAATTGTAACAATTCCATGATTTCAAGTATATCATATATTTATAATACACAAACCCATGGGTGTATATGTCAATCTGTATAAGTAATCTCAAACACTGCACCCCATACATACATGTAGACTGCAGCGTTTGTAGAGCCGATTAGGTCAATTATCTTATTGTTTTGTTCAGATGTGAGATAATATTACTGAACTTTTACATGTGTTTTTTTTTTTTTCCTATCAAATTGGTTTTATCAGCCCTGAGGGATTTGTGTTAAATATTTACACTGTGATTATGTTTTAATTTCTTTAATTTAATTTCTTGTTGTGTTCTTCTTTCAATGTATAGGTGTTAAAGTTACTTATTTAGACTTTTAAATGGGGTACTTCATCAACTCACATTTAATATAATTATTGATATTTTTGGATTATATTCCTTATGTTCTAATTTTTCACATTTTATTTACTGTTTCATCCTAGCTTCTATTTTTTTAAAGATTTTATTTATTTATTTGAGTGACAGAGAGAGAGTACAAGCAGGGGGAGCGGCAGAGGGAGAAGCAGGGAGCCCGACGTGCAGCTGGATCCCAGGACCCTGGGATTATGACCTGAGCCGAAGGCAGACGCTTCACCAATTGAGCCCCCCAGCTACCCCTTAGCTTCTTTTTTTAAACATGGTTTTGGCGAGCTATTGCAAAATAATGCTGCTTAACAAAAGCCTCTGTTGCACAGGAAGACAAGCCTGCACTTCTGGCATGCTGTGTTGTGGGTCAGTGGTCAGGGCTTTGCCTTTGTGTGGGTGCTGCCTAGGGGCAAGCCACCTTCCTAAAACATGTTTTTGGCTACAGCAGAGTTGCAAGAGGGCAAACCCCATATATAAACATTTTCAGAACACTGCTCACTTCACATTTGTTGATTTTCCATTGGCCAAAACATGTCCTGTAGCCAGGCCTGATGTCCAGGACAGAGCACCTGATAAGGCGCACAGACTGTGAGGCCCAGGCCAACTGTTCACCAGCTCCCTCGAGCACTGGTGTCCCATGGCCCTGCCATCGCCATGGCTGGTCATTATGGAATGAATGCCACTTTGTTGGGTAAACCTCTGTCAACATTTTCTCTCTCCAGAGTGGGTCCATTCTTTGCTCCACATCCCATCAGGAATGACACCAGCCTGGGGCCGAGGTGCACGTGACCAGGCTTCCGTCACTGTTTCTGCAGGTGTGTCCTTGGGCCCCTGGGGGACCCTGGGCACTGACTAGCATCCTGTAAGATGTGCTGCTTGGTTCTTGGAGGATGCTCTCTGCTAATGTCATTTGCATCCTACAATGGCACCTCCAGGTATGCTTGGATGGGGTCAAGACAACCTGCTCAAGACCACTCTGTCCTTCATGTTGGCTGAAGCTTGTACTCTGGAAGTATGGTGGAGAATCAGTCAAAAATAACATGATGAGGGCTAACAGAAAGGGTTTTCTAAAGACAAAGAGTTTTATTATGTGACATTTTAAACTTTGGTTTGAGGAATATTTTTCCTTTTTCCCATCAGTCCGCACTGACTGGTATATAGATCAACTAACCCTAAATCAGCAGAAAAACCACATGGTTTCTGAGATGTTTCCAGGTAGGAAAGCCACTGAGGCCCACAGGACAACTTCTGAGGAATGGCTAGGTTAAGGGAACAGTTTACTGCACAGCCAAAGCATGGGCTACACTCGGGCCCCCGACTGGGGCTGGGGCAGGAGCAGCTGGGGGACCCTTCATGCCTCAGACAGGACGGACGTGGGCCTGAGAAAGGCCCAAGGGACAAGCATGGGGACGATCCAGGCCTCACAGCAGCCTCCCAGGCTCTGCTCTCATCCCCACCTTCATGCCTGGAGTGCCCAACCCTTAAGTGCCCGAACTGAGGACCAGGGAATGGTGCTCATGGGCAGGGGAGGTCTGCATCAGGCTGCATTTAGTGCAGAAAGGGCTTGTATTGTGGTAGTAGACACAGTGGTTCTGGCCAGGTGTGAAAGAAACGAGGGTCCACATTTGAATTAATCCAACTCTGAAGGGCTGGAGGAGTTCCAGCCCCCTGCCTGATGGGATTTGGACCCAATCTGAAGAAGGGCCCCATGGGGATGATGGTCCACAGGCACTGAGCAGTAATTTGGAGAAAGGCAATGTCTGGGCCTTCTCACATTTCCATCTACAAGAAGAGCACAGGCACATTTTACTTACATTTCCTCAGGGACTGCTAAAATCTGAGTTATTTCCCATTTTGTTTGGGCCTTGATATGAAGCTGGCTCCTAGATTCTCTCCCCTGTGCTCCAGATGAACTGATGTAATTGGACACTGTGGAAGCATTTTAATCCTGCACACCATGTGGCATTAGCATGAGCTTGCTCTTCTCCCCTGAGCTCCTAGAGCTGACAGCTGAAATCTTGCTCTGGATCCTGGGTGGAGGTGAAGATCGCAGACGGGTGCTGGGGCAGTGTGGGCTCCAGCTCTCCTAGCACCAGCGGATGAGTGGAAAGCAGAAAAACACCAAAACGTAGAAGGGTAGCAGATAAATCTCTCAGAGTCTGTTTCTGCTGATTCTACCATTATCCTTCCTCCCACGTTCACCCTACATTTTGGATAATTAGCTTATAGGTGAAGAAACTTAGTTGTATACTTACATAAGGTTAAAATTTAGAACTTAAAATAAGGTACATTTTATGTTATATATGCTTCACCACAATTTTAAAAAATTGATTTTGACAATTTATTCATTGATTTTGTGGGACAGTGGACTTTGCACGTGACGGGACGTCTACTTTATCAGCCACGTGGTGGAAAACTGCTCAAGGATGAGCTCCTGCCCCTCGCTCTCCCCTCCACAAGCAGGGGCAGCCTTAAAAATATCCCATCCCCGGGGTCCCAGGAGGGTGAGCAGCAGCGGGACCGCCCCAGGGAAGGCGCGTCTTAGAGGAGGGGACGCTGGAGGGACGCGCGGGAAGGGGGGCGCCGCGAGCAGCCGCGGTCCTCAGAGCCCCACGACAGGCTCTGGTTCCCTAGTGGCCAAGGCGCCCGGGAGCTGGGCGGGGCTGAGGGGGGTGGGCCAGCCGGGGAGGGGAGGGGGAGATGAGCCGGCAGGCGCCAGGGGAGGCAGGCGCATCCGAGTCTTTTCCAAAAGCCCTTGGGGAAGAATATTCTCAGACGGCTTCGTGTGGAGTGATCCCAGGAGGTACACGGACGGGCAGGACTCCTGAGAGGCCCGGGGTCGGTCCAGAGTGGGGAACGAGGGTAGGGAGGGCGCACGTGTTCCTCGGCAGAAGCCGGTCTGGCAGCTCCGGGAGGAGAGGAGCTGCCCTGCCCCTCCGGCTGGGGTTGGGGAGCACGGGGATCGCCCTCTTCTGACCCGACCGGCCCCTTCGCGGCCTAGAGCAAGTCCCTCCCCGGCGCCCAGGGGCGGATCCGCCAGCGTCCCCTCCTCCACCCAGGGTACCGCAAGCCCCCTGGTGCGTCCTTGAGTTAGGACGCTGTGGTTCTGGGCAGGGATGGGGTGTAGGTGAACCACAGCTTGGGTCCCAGCGTACAGGGGAGGACCGGGGGGAGCATTACCATCCCACCTCACACCTCACCTGTCCAGCTGGTTGTGGGCAGGGTCTGCCTTGGGGCATCCACAGTGCCCACAATATGGAGGCCATGGCAGAAGGATTTCCACTCATGGCAAGGGTACACCCATATTGGAAGAGCAAGGAAAACTGGAACTACACAGCTCCAGAGGAGGACTGTGGACCCCCTGGATTAGGTGCCCTGCAACTCTCCCCAGCCAGTGGGCTCCTTGGAAGCTAAAAACATTCTGGACCCAGTGCCACCCTTCTCCAAATGAACCCATTTGGTCAAGGCTCAGACCTCTGGGAAGGAGGGACCTCTCCCTGAAACCATCCTCCGTGTGTTGCCCCAGCTGGAGGCCAGATACATGCAAGGCCTCAGGACAAGCCCACCCACCACACGCATAACACAGAGCAGGGTACAGGTGGGCAGTGAGGGACGATGTGGGCTCAGGGGCGGGGTGGGGAATCTCAAAGGGCCCCTCCCCAGGTGAAAAGACAGCACCATCACGCAAAAGTGCTTTATTGACTACAATGGCAGACTGACATGTACATAAAACGCTGTGACAGAGGTGACAGCCTCAGGCCACGGGCAGCTACTAGTACCCTCCATAATATTTTATCATCTCTGAAATTGTTTGGGAAATCATCAGTGATCCAGTGGCCAAAACAATGATGAACGTGATGGTCAGAAGGAGGCCCAAGACCAGGGCCCAGATGTTCAGGCACTTGGCGGTGGAGGCATAAGTCTGGGCCCCAGTCGTGTCACCCACCATCTTCCGGTCCCTAGACTGGGGAGAAGAGATGGAGCGTGCGATCAGGCCCAGGTCCCGGTGAGAGCCTGGGACTCAGGTGCCCCCCTGGCTGGTCCCTGCCCAGGGCAGTCTCCACCTGCCCTTCACCCTCCCCATTCCCTGGAGCCTGAGCAGGACAGTGCCCCGTGGGCCCCTCCCTCCTGGGGCCTGCATCTCTTTCCTCAGCCTCTCAGGAGACCCCAGGCCTTGTCCTCCCCCTGCTTTGGCCCCTTCACTGGCCTCACACCCCACCGGGAGGCAGTTTCCTGTGAGTTCCTTTGTTCTTTCTGGGCGAGCCTCGGAGCCACACGTGCATCTGAGGGATGTAATTTCTAGTATTGGTCAGTAGGGGACGTCCTTGGAATCTTGGGGACAAAGGCTGCTCATGGCCAACCCCGGCCCCTCCTGCAGCTTCACTCCACACACACACACACACACACACACACACACACAAGGGCTCCCCACACCCCACATGGCCTGTGGGCAGGCGGACCTCCGCAGGCTCACTGCACCTTCTGGGAGAGTCCCTCCCCACACCCCCTCACCTTCACGGAGTAGGCGAAGGCCACGAAGCCCAGGCAGCACCAGTTCATGAAGATGGTGTTGAACAGGGACCAGACGATGTGGTCGGGCACGGCTGTCTCACTACGGATGTTGATCACAGTGGTCGTCACGGGAGCCGAGCTCTGGGGCGCCCCGAGTACAGCCACCTCGTGCTCCTCCTTGAGCATCTCGTAGGTCGGGGGGACGCCGTGGGGGGCGCCCAGGAAGAAGTGCTGGGAGTTGTGGCTCATGGTGGGAGATGGAGCACCTGCGGTGTGGATGTGGATGCCGGATCGTGCTCTGGGCCCTCCCCTCCCCAGTAGTTTCGATTTCTCCAAAGATTCCTTTTTTGGTGTTCAGGGAAATTGGGAATTGGCTGGGAGTAGGAGGGAGGAACCAACTGTTGAGTGTCAGGTTACACCAGTGCGGGCGGGTGGGAGGGCTGAGGTCTCAGGGGGGCTTGTAGCCTCAGGAAGGCTTCCTGCCTCAGCTTCCCCAGCTCCTCGTTCAGGGCTGAGGGTGGGGCCTGAGGACTTTTCCTGGCAGGTGAGTCTCCCCACCTTTGCCCCCATCCCAGGCACAAGCCTGCTGCAGGCCCTCACCGCCCACATGCAGGCCCCTCAGGCCCTCAGCCAGACTCCACACTGCAGCCCCCAGAGAGAGCTTCCTACACCCAAAAGCCCACACCACAGGGGTCACAGGCCTCCTGTCTGGAATCTGTAGACCTTCGCTGGCTCTGAAGTCCATGCTGGGGGTAAGGGGCGGGACAGGGGCGGTGTTTTGTGCTTGCAGGTCAGGACGCCGCAGTCTGTGTACCTGTTCCAGAAGGAGCCTCCAGCATCTCTCAAGGGTCCCCGGGAGCCTCCACGGGGGGCTCCGTGTCGGGAGGAGCCGGCTGTGCTGGGAGGCAGGAGGCTCCAGGCCATGGGGCAGCAGCTGGGAGCACAGGGCCGGCGTATTTGTGCACCCACACCTTTCCTCCCTCCCTCCTGCCCCCATCAGGTCACCTACAGCCAAGGATCTTGGGGGGAAGGGTCAAGAGAAAGCACACAGGGAGGAAGTCAGCTCTCAGAAGGGGCTTGCCCCACCCCAGTTCCTTCTGGAAATTACAATATTTCCTTTTTCACCACAATCCACCCCCATGGAAAGATGGGGTCCTCAGAGCAAGAGAAATGTTCCACCTGAGGTAAAGCAGGCCCGGTGTTGGAGTTGCCGTGATGGTTGTGCCCGCCCCTTCACACACCAGAAAGCATGCCTAGGGAGGCCTGGCTCCTCTTCCAGTCCTTGTGCAATGTCCAATCCCTCCAGTCCCTCCTGCTCTGCTCTTGTGGCCCCAGGCCAGGGTCTGTCCCCTGTCTCCCCTGGAGTTTCCAGGCCCCCAGTGCCTCCTCCCTGTCCTGTTGTGTGGCCATACCTGGTGACCCTATTCTCCTCACTGCCCCTCCAGTGGTCCTCCTGGCTGGCCCCCACTCCTTTGAGGGCTCCAGGCTGGCTGTGTCCATGGCCTGACTGTGGCCATGAGTGAGTTCCAATGGAAAAGTGCAGTAAGTATAAAACACCCATCATTTTGAAGGGTTGATGAGAAAAAAAAATCTGATAAGATATAATGTATTTCATTGATAATATTTTTTACTGATTATATGTTGAGATATTTTGAATTTATTGGCTCAAATAAAATAGATCATTAAAATAAATTTCCATTTGCTTTTTTTAAATGTGGTTACAGAATATTTAAACTTGGGTTTATGGGAAATAAATTCAAAACGGCTGAAAGACCTAAATGTGAGACAGGAACCATCAAAATCCTAGAGGAGAACATAGGCAGCAGCCTCTGTGACCTCATCTCTAGCAACTTCTTACTAGACATGTCACTGGAGGCAAAAATGAACTATTGATAAAAAGCTCAGCCATCAAAAAGAATGAAATCTTGCCATTTGCAACTACATGAATGGAGCTAGAAAGTATAATTCTAAGCAAAATAAGTCAGTCAGACAAAGATAAATAACATATGATTTCACTCAGATGTGGAATTTAAGAAACAAAACAAATGAGCAAAGGGAAAAAAAACTTAACTCTAGAGAACACACTGATGGTCACCAGAGGGGAGGTGGGCAGGGGGTTGGGGGAAACAGGTGAAGGGAATCAGGGAGGGCACTTGTCATGATGAGCACCGGGTGATGCATGGAAGTGTCGAATCGTACACCTGAAACTAATATTACACTGTATGTTAACTAATTGGAATTTAAATAAAAACTAAAAAATAGGGCGCCTGGGTGGCTCAGTCGTTGAGCATCTGCCTTCGGCTCAGGTCATGATCCCAGGGTCCTGGGATCGTGTCCCGCATCGGGCTCCCTGCTAGGCGGGGAGCCTGCTTCTCCCTCTGCCTCTGCCTCTCTCCCTCTCTCTCTCTCGACTCTCATGAATAAATAAACAAATAACATTTTAAAAAAACTAAAAAATAAAATAATAAATTGGGTTTGTGCCCTACACTCTACTGAAGCCTCAGCCTGGACGATCTGTAGGCAGCAGTGGATGTGGTCCCATCCATGTGCAGCATCAGAAACCTGGCAAGGTGGCATCAGCCAGGTATCAAGAGGAGGGTGTCTTGGGGAGACCCACCCTTACCCGTCCCCATATGTCTTGGCCCGTTCACAAATGGGGCAGGGTCTCCCTCTGAGTCTGCCGCTGGACCTCTTGGTCTCAGCCCTGGGCAGCAGGGGACACACAGTTGCCCCATCTGTCCTCCAGCCCCGGCAGCTGTTTGTCAGATTGCTTTGGAAGGTTGCTTACAACAAGACATGCTCTTTCTATGTAAAGTCTTAGGATTTTTGCAAGACTTTTTCTTTTTTCTTTTTCTTTTTTTTTTTTTATATAATATATAATATATTATACTCCAGCTAGGTGGCAGGCAACAAAGAAACTATTCTTGGGGGCTAGAAAGAGTGACCCATGTAAAGTAGTGTGATGGTAAATTCTCTATGCACCTTGACTGGGCCACAGGGCCCAGATGTCGAACATTGTCCTGGATGTGTCCTGAGGGTGTTTCTGGGTGCGGTTAACATGTCAATCGATGGACTGAGTGAAGCAGGGTGGCCTCCCCAGTGTCAGGGGATCTCATCCAATCTGTTGGAGGCCTCAATAGAACACAAAGGTGGAGAAAGGGAGAATTCACTCTGCCCACCTGTCTTTGAGCTGGGATGTTGGTCTTCTCCTGCCTTGGGACTCAGACTCAGGCCGGAGGACACCCCTGAGCCTCCACAACCATGTGAGCCAACTCCTTGTACTCTGTTTCTTTCTGTGTGTATGTCCATTGATTCTATTTCTCTGGGGAATCCAGACTAGTACAAGCAGTGAGGAAACCCATGGTGAAACACCCACACTGTGATATTTGGAGGAAGGACTGCAATATAATGATTTATAAGAAACAGGTATTTGGTCATCAGATGACCAAATATGTTTCTCAGACGTATCTGGTCTTCATCCACAGCTCCTGAGAACTCTTAAAGGTGATCCAGGGTCTCATTATAGTGAAGGTGACTCCTGGACCCACCCAAGGGTGTCCAGGAGGACCAACGGTGGGATTGGAGGGTTGGAACCTCCAACCATCCCCAGAGGTTGTATCAGCCAATGGCCAATGACTTAGTCAATTATGACTATATAATGAAGCCTCCATAAAAACCCAAGAGGACAAGTTTTCTGGTCCTTTTTCTTTTCAGAGATCTTCCATGATCGAGGGACCAGAACACTCCCATGTGCAACCAAGCTCCATGAGTACAGAGACTCCTTTGTGTGAGATCTTGCGCTACATATCTCTTCATCTGGCTGTTGATTCATGTCCTTTGTTACATCATTTAACACACTGGTAACCCTAAGGAAGTGTTTCCCTGAGTTCTGTAAGTTGCTCTAGTAAATTAGAAGAACCTGAGGAGAGGGTTGAAGCCTCCAATCTGTAGTGGTCTATTAGAATCCCTGGTGACAGCCAGGCTTGTGATGGCATCTGAGGTGGGGGTGGGGACTGTCTTACAGGACTGAGCCCTCCACCTGTGGGATCTGACACTATCTCTGGGTAGACGGTGTTGGAACCCAGCTGGTGTCCAAGAATTGCTGGGCGCTGTGGGCGGGGCTACACATTGGGATTGGGTCCAGGAACCCTAAAAGACGGACCAAGAACCTAATAAATGTAGCCCTAGGATAAGACATGGGCAAACATTTGTTGTGTGTCATGAACCTGAACCTGTCAAGCCCGGCACCTGCATTTCAGTCAGGGTTCAGGGGCTGAGGGTGAGAAAGCAAAAGAGACAGAGCATAACTGAGCACTATGGAAAAAGGGAGCGAAAGGTGGGACTATTGGCACATGGATCTGACTGAAATTAAATCAAATGTGTTTGGGTTTTTTTTTTTTTTTTAAGATTTTATTTATTTATTTGACAGAAAGAGACACAGCGAGAGAGGGAACACAAGCAGGGGGAGTGGGAGAGGGAGAGGCAGGCTTCCCGCCACCAAGCAGGGAGCCTGATGCAGGGCTTGATCCCAGGACTCTGGGATCATTACCTGAGCCGAGGGCAGACACTTAACAACTGAGCCACCCAGGCGCCCCTAAATCAAATGTTTTAAAGTTGATTGAACACGTGAAGGATTTGCACTGCCCCAAAGAAACCGTGGCCCCAGACGGGCGGGGAACGCTTCTGCGAGAGTGAGGATGAGGGGCATGGGAGCCCCAGCCAGGGCCTGGGAGCAGCTGAGGGCCACTAGGATGTCCCCTCCTGAGAGCACACTCCAGGTTCAGGCTGAGAATGTGCCCATCTGGGGTCCAGGGTTCTCACCACAGCCACCTGGTGGGACTTCAGCATTGCTACAGAGCCAGGAGGGCTGAGGTCTGCCCTGGTCCCCCCTCCAAGTCAGCGCTGACCCCAGCACCTGTCCCTGCTCCTCATTTGAGAGCTGCGTGTGTGGGGGCCCCTGATCCACGTTCTCCCACTTGAGAGGAGACACATCTGGGCTGAAAACGGGGACTTTGCACCTCTCTTGATCTTCCTGTGTAGAGACTTGGGGATGGTGCCCCTTGGGAAGGGGCTGTATTTTACATACAAGAAGGAGAGCCTATCTGAACGTGGCAGTCCTTAGTTCTGTTCACCCAATGCCTCCAGCTCTCCTGGGCTGGGGTGGGATTGCATCTCCCCATCCCCTGGAATGCAGGCACCCAGAGGCTGGGACTCCCCGGGTCCCTGCATGACTGTGGGAAGCAGAGTCCCCTCCACAGATTCTGCAAGAGTGCAGCAAGGGCGGGACAGAGGTATTTGAGGATTCTGTGTTGCACAGCCTCATCCAGCCCACCCTAACTGATGCACCTGCCCCGTGGCAGTAGTCTGCAATCTGCAGGCCCTCAGCTTCTCTCCCGCTCCTTGGAGATTTTAGCCTTGGTCTCACATGTTCCCCAGATC